ATGAACAGGACTCACAACTCAACCTCTGCTCCTCAAGCACTTTCAGGCCTCCTGGAGTGGGAGGTCAGTTCTGAGAGCTGGGTCAGCAGCTCTGGGTTACCAGTGCTCTCTGCATGCTGAAAATTGCCATCAACACCTCCTAAATACACACATCCCCTTGGCAGGTGTGCCACAAACACCAAAGGGTGAGCAAGAGTTGGCCATTCCCTGGAGGGACAAAGCCAACTGTCAGGATTATAACACCCACCTTCAGATAGTTTGGTTTACACAGCTGGAAAACCTTCTGGTGCTTTACAGTAATTGATTACTGATTTATTAATACTTCACACAATTCTGACTGTTCCTAGTAAGGTTATTCCCCAAAATCCTGTTTTCCAATAAGCTACAGGTGCTGGAACAGACTGCAAAGTCCTTTCAGCCTGGGCTGCTGTGACTCCAGGAGCACACACAGAACATGGCCAGGGGAACACGGTGAGTGCAGAACAACCAGAGCAGGGCCAAAACAAGTGCCCCAGCACAGGATCCTGGGAAAGACTGAGCCATACTCACTCATCCTCCAGGGCCTGAGGCAGACTCACCTTCCAGGGTTTCTCAGGGATGGGAGCATCCTCGATTTCCGCCTCGATCTCGCTGGCATGGACCCAGGTGTCGTAGCTGGGGAGGGTCAGGAGAGAGCAGCTCAGGCACCAGGAGCAGCAGGAATGGTTCTGCAGCAGCCCTGGCATGTGCAGCCCTCATTTCCACAGGGAACAACCCTGCTTTGTGCCACAGAACCAGGCACAGGGCACAGGGAGGGCCCCGGGGCATCCAATGCACGTTAAAAGGTAAAAATCCTCTTAGTGAACCACTCCAGCTCCAAGTGCAAGTCTGGAGAGGTGCAGGGGGTAAAGGCAGATCTGAGTCACCCAACCAAACCCTGCCATTAACTTAATCCACTTCTCTCTGTTCTTGTGATTTCAATGCAAGAGCTACTGGATTCCTGGAAGGGAGGAAGCTGCACCCTGCCCTAGAAACCTCTCGTTATTTATATTCACTCTTCCACATTATTCCCTCAAAAGTCTATTTATTAACAAACTGCAGTGAGGAACAGCAAAAGCCACAGTCCTTTGTAGCCAACACCAGGTGCTGAGGACCAGGAAGGAGTCAGGTGCAAGGAAAGATGTGCACACAGCATTCCTGGCTTTACACTGTTTCATGTGTACCTGGTTTAAAAACACCAATACAAGCCTGACTACTGATAGAAATATAGAAATATTGAAAGGCTCTTCATCTGTATGAATAAAAAACTTCAGTGTGATTATGTTTGCTGTCCTCCATTGAAAGCCCCATGAGAGACAGATCCTAGGAATTTGGTGTGTGAACAGATTTCAGTGGCCTGAAAAAGTTAATTAAATAGCAGTCAATACTGGGTTACCAATGCTTTGATTGATCTTCCATAGCCTGGGCTCAGAAACCAGTTATTGCAAATACAGTGAAGCTCCTACCAGCACATACATTGAATTTTAACATGTTCCAGGAGCACAGGGCAGGTTCCTCAAAGGATGCTTTAACAGTCACTTGCACCTGACTGAAGGCAACCCTTGGAGTGAAATCTTTCTCAGAGCTCAGCCAGGTGACTGGAAGTTCTCCTTTTAAAATTTAAGGAGAGGCTCATTCCAGCTTTAAAATCAATTTCCAACCAGTTCCTTGTGGCTCTGCAGAAGAACTCTTTTTCCAGCCTCACCCACCTGCCAGTGTCACAAAGGGGTGTGGATATTGCACTTTTAAATCAATTGTTCCTTCTTTTCAAGCTTTGCACATTGGGATCAAGACTTTTCCATCAACAAACAGTTAAAACTCAGAGTTTGCTTCCCCCCAGCCATCTTTACCTGTCTGGGAAAAAGCCCCAATGCACCAGCACCTGTTTGTCCTTTTTCATCACAGGTCTCAACCACTCATCTGCAAAGGGAACGAGATCCAGGTCAGGTGTGGAGGGAAAAGCTCAAAAATTCACTTTGCACAGTGAGTCAGAGGGAAGTTACTGCAAACCCCTGTGCTAAAGGGGGTCTGGGAAGGGACCTTAAAGCTCATCCCAATCCCCTCTGCCATGGCAGGGACACCTCCCACTGTCCCAGGTGCTCCAAACCCCAATGTCCAGCCTGGCCTTGGGCACTGCCAGGGATCCAGGGGCACCCACAGCTGCTCTGGGCACCTGTGCGAGGGCCTGCCCACCCTCACAGGGAACAATTCCTAATTCCCAACACCCCATCCATCCCTGCAGCTCTCAAGTACCAAACCCTGCAACCCAAACCCTGAGCACAGAGCCCAGAGAAGCACCACAGGAGAAACCCCAAGGATGTGAACCTGCATCTCCAATCCCTGCTGGAATTTTGGGCTGTGGGACCTGGGGCTCAGAGCCTGAGGCACACACAGGGCTGAGCCTGCTGCTGCCACAGGGACAGACACAAACCACCCCTGATCCCTGCAAACTGCAGGGAGCACTTCCATCTAGTGGCCAGCACAGGCCAGGGAATGTGAGAAAGGGATTTCTTTATGTCTGTGCAACTTGGGCTTGAGGACAATGACCTCCCAGGTAATTAAATTTTATTTAAGATGAAAAGGGAAGAAATATTTTTTGCTCTTTGCAGAAAGACGCAGCAGTGAAATTTCTCTTTTTGGACCTTGCACTTGGTGCAGGCAGAGTGAACTTTAACACAGCCAAGGCTCATGGAGGAGCTCTCCTTGCCCCCCACACACAAGGGTTGTACCAGCACTCCCTACAGAATCCCTGGAGAGCCAGGAGCTCAGAGTCAGGGAATTGCTGAGGCTGGAAAAGCCCTCCAAGATCAGAGTGCAGCCATTTTCAGCACTGTCCCATGTCCCCAAGTGCCACACAGCTCTGAAATCCCTCCAGGGTTGGGAGGAACTCTCCCAGTCTCCAGCCTAAAGCTCCGCAGGCACATTATCCACAAAGCAGCAATGTTCCCTCAGGAGCAGGCTGGGAACAGTGCTGGTGAACACTTCCACACTTCTCATGGCACTCATTACAAGAGGATTCCCCTGAAAAGCTGAACCTCACCATCATCCACTGAGGTAGGACTTGGATACACGTGGTGGGTGGCCTTGGATTTCTCTTCAGTGACTGTTCCCTGTGGGAAACAGGAGAAACTGCATGAGAAACCCTCAGCACATCACCCCAAAGCACAGCTGTGTTCAAAACTTACACCCCATAAACGTGGAAGGGATTGATTCAACAGCACAACGAGCTGCAGATCCCATCCCTGGATGGCAGCAGCAGGAACACAACAGCATTGTGGGGTGGGATGTGGGACACTCTGGGATCAGGGGCTGAAGGGCAAGAGCTTCCACAGCTCAGGAAAGGACAGGGCAGCTCTGGAGGGAGCTGGGAAATAACAAAAATTGGAGCAGGGAGGACTTGGGACAGCAGGGAGCCACAGGCACTGGGTTTGGGTAGTGGGGAGATGACAGCAAGGGGTTAAAAAGGAAAATAACCAAGATGTGAGGAAGCAAAGCTGGTGACAAGATGAGCATTCAGAGGCAGAGCAAACGAAAGCCCAAAAAGTAGAATTAGAGACAATTTCTGTTTTCATCTCCTCACATCCCTGTAGAGACAAAGCTGCTTTAAAAATCCCTTAAATCACTCATGGGATACAGCATGGAGCTCACTACAGACTTCCTTTATGAAAGGAAAATTGACTCATTCACTCTAATTTAAGCAATAACACCCATCCTGAATCAGCCAAATAATTAAGAGCAACTTGTGAAAATGTGCCCAACCGAGGCTGAGACAATGGTTCATAATCACAACACAGGAAATACATTAAATCTGGAAAAGAAACTCTCTGGCTACAGCTGAGACTTGTCCTGACTCAAAAGCCACCAGAGCATGCAGAGGTCACGTTCCAGGGTATGTCTCTGCAGACAAGTGAGAGACTGTTTATGTTTTTAAGGATGAAGCCATTAATCTTGCCCAAGTCATCCTGGAATTACGAGGGAAGGTCCCCTGAGGCTGCCTGGGCTCTGCCCAGCACCACCAATCAGAGAGTGAAATAAAGCAAAGACAAATAACCATTTCAGAGAGAAGCTTCCTTCTGCTGTCCCACACATCTGGAACAGCTGCCTCACTCCTTGCTTCAGGCCCAGTTTGGACAAACCTGTGCTGAGCAATAAACCAGCTGGGGCTGCCCCTGCTCACCCAGAACAGCTGGCAGCAGGTCCAGGTGTGCTTTTAGAGCACAGCCAGGGCTCAGCCTCCATGGCAGGGTAAAAACCATTGCCCCACTCCCCAAGGGAGCTGTGCTGCTGCTGCTGCTGTGTGCTCAGGCAGGGCTGGGCACAGCTGTGCTCTGTGATACTCACCTGGTGACGCTTGACAATGTCCTTCAGCTTGTTGGCCAGCTTCAGCTCCATGTCAGGAATGAGGTAGATGGTTGGTCTGCTCAGACAGTTGTTCTGGGAGAGAAGAGCAAGTGGAACAAGGAATTAGGGGGTGATCTGTGGCAAAAATCAGAATACTCCAATAAAACCCCCAGTGCTAGAACTCCAGTGGAACCCAGAGCAGGGGGTGACTCAGGTCAGTGATCCCAGCTCCAGGACCTTGGGACAGGGACATTCCCTTCCCACAGCTCCCCAGCAAAGCCCTGCCCAGGTTTTTATCATGCACTGAAACCGCTGTACATGGGCAAGGGTTTTTTGTAATAAAAATATTGTTGTTTTTTTTGCTATTCTTCCTGTTTTCATTGCTAATGGACACCTAAAAGTTATGTTTTTACTACATCATACACTGAACTTGGCTTCAGAGTTTGAAAAAAAAATCACACATTATTGCCATGCAGCAGTTAAAAAAACTAAACTTCAAATGAGACTCCACAGAGCTGCTTAATGGGTACAGATAACTTGTTTGATAAAGTGAGAGTAAAATGGATCCTAATCTCAAAAAGGCCAGTTCAGATCAAACTGAAGTCAGCCCTGGAATGGGCACAGGAGCAGTTACTGGGCCCCAGGGGTGCCACCTCCACAGGGACATGGGGACACCTGGGATGTTTGCTCTTTGCTTACAGCAGGTTTTCCTCACATAAATAAATAAAATCCTATGCATATCCACTGAGGGCAAATGGAAATATTCTGCATTTTTCAAGTGAAAATGCGGAATTGTGACTGAGCTGGGTGGGAGAGGGAGGGGAGGGTCCCCCATTGCTGCAGAGGGCCGGGGTGAAGTCCTGCCCTGAGTGCCCAGGGAGTGGTTCCTGCCCTGGGCTGGGTCTCTCCTTGCCTGCACCAGTGTTTTCTCAATGGTCATGAACATCTCCACGTTCCGGTCCATCCGCGAGGGATTCTGCAGGTCAAACCTCCTCCTGTCGAGGGAAATGATTCACAAATATTAACTGCACACCCCCAGCTGCCAGCAGTCCAGAACCTTCCCTGCTCCACACAAACTCTGGATCGTGGCAGGGGTGCCAGGACACTCCAGCACAGCCACAACTATTTCTGCTGCGCTTGGCACCCTCAGCAGCAAGAAAACCACCATGAACCACATCGAGAAATGCAGCTGATTTGTGAGATGTGCAGGGAGAAAAAGGAAGGTTACAGTGCCCACCAGACCCTGCAGCAGGGCTGTGCATTCCACCACAGTCACAGGGGGTAACTGAACACACAACCACCAGGGATTTCAACATCAGATGAGAGAATTCATGGATGAGCCCTCATGGTTCTCTTACTTCTGGCTGCCCCATCCAGCAGTCCTGCAGTCCAGAGAAGCAGCAATTCCTGTGCCTGGTGTGAGAATAAACCACCCCCCAGGGTACAGGCAGCTAATAACCCATGGCAGCATTGTATCACCACCTTTACTGGACCCTGGTGCTCTAACTTTGTTACTTCACAGACAAATCATCACAAATATTGCCATGCCAATGGAGATCTGTCCATCACAAATGGGGGAGGACACAACACCTGAAAAATCCTCCCGAGAAGCAGCAGGGGAGCCCCCAGATTCCCTGTGCTGTGCTCTGAACACATCTGGAACTCACAGATGGGCCAACCCAAAGGAGGGATTGGGGTGGTGACCTCAGAGCCTGAGGAGGGGCAGCCCCAGCCCCAAAACAGCCCCAGCAGCTGCAGGGAGTGCCACAGCTGGGGCTGAGCCCTCAGGATCCAGCCTGTCCCAAAGCTCCAGAGGCGCTGAGCCCTCAGAATCCAGCCTGTCCCAGAGCTCCAGAGGGGCTGAGCCCTCAGGATCCAGTCTGTCCCAGAGCTCCAGAGGGGCTGAGCCCTCAGGATCCAGCCTGTCCCAAGGCTCCAGAGGTGCTGAGCCCTCAGGATCCAGCCTGTCCCAAGGCTCCAGAGGGGCTGAGCCCTCAGGATCCAGTCTGTCCCAGAGCTCCAGAGGGGCTGAGCCCTCAGGCTGTGTCCTCAGATGCAGAACAGGACCTGCAGCATGCCTGCACCTCCAGGTTTGGGAACAAGCTGCTGCTGGGGTCTGGAAAGGCTCGCAGGTGTGAGACTCAAAGCTCTGCACACCCAGGGCAGTGGCAGCTGTGAATCCCAAAGCCCTGCACACCCAGGGCAGTGGGAGGGGTGTAACCCCAAGCCTTGCACACCCAGGGCAATGGCAGGTGTGTAACCCCAAGCCTTGCACACCCAGGGCAGCTGTGAATCCCAAACCATTGCACACCCAGGGCAGTGGCAGGTGTGGAACCCCAAGCCTTGCACACCCAG